TCTTGTCTTATTCTGTTTTCTAGGGGGAACCGGTCTGCTGTGGGGGGCACCAATAAGAATCAAGCATTAATGAAGGAACTCCAGGATCTTCAAGCAGCAGAACAGCATCTGGACAGCCTCATCCAGATGTGCACTACTCAATTCAAGATCCTTACTGAGGAACCTGAAAACAAGGCATATCCTTCTCTTCAAGATGAATGGGGATTAGATGACTTTATCCAATCATAGAGTACAAAACAGGTTCATAGGAGCAAATCTTCTGCATTAACCAGTAGCAGTAAAGTACCATATCCCAAAGAGGCAGCTGCACTACTGACATTCCTGGATAGGGTGTTGGTACTTTAATTTGTACTTCCACACCCTGTGAGTTAATGGAAAATCCCTACCTGGCTGTTGACTAAGGCTCTGAATTGTCAGTGAGGTGGAGGTGTATATGTATGTATATATCTGAGAAAGAAAGGAAAAGAAAGGGTGGTGGTGCATCTGTCAGATGTTTTTTGTTGATTTTTGCCTGGCAGCTCTGTAGCTGAACCTGTTCCTGATAATGAAATCTGCAATCCACCCTTTCTGGTAAATGAACAGTTTTACATATATGTATGTGAGAGAAAACTTCAGCTATTCTTCAAACCCCCCCCCCCATTTTTTTCTTTGCAATAATATTCCAATAAATAGGTTTATATGTTGCATATCACAGGTAAGATATATGTGATAAGGCCTTAAGTGTACTTAATGAAATTGGTTAATCTCTTCAACATTCACTTCCACAGGGTTAAACTAATTAGTGTGCTCATAATTTTAATAATTGAAATCAGTTTTCTGACATTCTACAAATTTGTGGAGAATTCCACAGATCTCAGAATTGCAAGCCAGAAGACTGAGAGTAACAGTTAACTAGGAACTATTTCCCAACAAAAAGTGTGGGTCCTGAACAGATTATTTATTATATAGAAATTGTAGAGGGAAATAATTAAATTTGAAGTAGACTGGCATCAAAATATTAAAAGCAAAGAAATAGAAATAGGCATACAGACATGGTTATTTTGAATGAGATTAAATCTTCATGCCAAATTAATTGCATCCTGAAATACTGAAGGAAGTAGCTAATCTAAAGCTGTTGTAACCCCAAATGGTTGTTAAATGACTGTTCATAAGTCAAGGACTTCTTATATGTCTCTTTCCCAATAGGTAGTGATTTGGGCCTGACAGTTGTATATTGCTATTCTAGTTTTGTATCTTGACATACATCTTGTGATATTTCTAACAAAACTTGACTGACCATACTTCAGCTTATGTGACTTGCCAAGATCTACGCAACATTGCAGACCCTTCAGAGCAGCTGGTGATGGTGATTAAAGCCCCCCCTGAGACACAGATGCAAGTCTCTGATCCTGCAGAGGTAACCTTCCTGTTTCCAAGAATTACAGAGGCCATTTGGGGCCACTCATGGAATACTCTCACACTTAATTTTCAGAATCCAATCCTCTTTATTATGTTTATCCTTTCCATTCCTCATTAGGTAGGAAAGGTTTATGCAAGTCCGTTCAAGTATAGTATATCCTGAAACAGTATTGTGACAGAAATCTTGCCACCAGTATGATAGATTCAGGGAAGCTTGGTTTTTAAANAGGTAGAAATATCCAAAATAGTTAAATAAAACCTGAGTCTGGAGAGCAGAGAAACAACACGCCTTGTCTGGGTATAGACTAAGTCAGAACTGGGCATGTGCGGCCAGGAGGCGTGGCTATCTCAGACTTAGTCTTATTGGGTACAAGGGACTTCAGGAAACCCAATCAAGTGGATTATCCATCCCTCATGCTGGAGAATGCAAGATTCTGTAGATGTGATTGCTGATCTATTCATCCACCCATCCATCCAATTTTTATAGCTGCCCAACTCAACCAATGACTCTTTGACATATTAATCTCGGCCTCTTATAGTTTAGCTGTATTTCATTGGGCTACATACACTGTGGAACATTTTACAATAATCAACTGCCACAAAGTTTTATATCCTAGATTAGTTAAATGGTGGCTAAGAATGAAATCCTATCCTCTAACTGTGCTGCCCTGTCAGAAAATGTCCTTTTGTAGGATAAGTCACCTGAGGCAATGTTTTGTGCCTAATCTACCAAACATAACTGGTGAGCTAAGGGGAGATATTTGTTGACATAGTGAGGTGAGTTTAGGGCATGTGAAATAGAGGCTATACATCGTGGGTTAGTCTAATAGAATAAGTTATTATCTATTTGGAGCCAGGAATGATGCACAAAATAAAGGTTTTTGCAGCTCTTTCTTACCCAAGTGGTTAACTTCTAGGTAGATGCAGTGCCTTGTGAACTCATGAGTAGCAATGTTAAACCCAGATATAACAAAATAAAATGCTTCAGGTGGAACTTTTCCTTTCTCATTTTACTATTTTTGATTTAATACATTTTTCCCCACAAAGTGTTAAAACGATGAGTGGAGATCATTACAAAATAGATTTTTTTTTCACTCAGATACTGAGATGTACTGGGCTTTTCAAAAATTTCTTTGTATAATGTAGAAGCTGTTTATTGTTATGTTATAGTTGTCCCAGGCAGTGAAACAAGCTAAATGAGGCAGATGTTTCAAAATTTTTGTCATCTAATCGTGAAGAGATAAAATTCTGAAGATTTTATAACACTGATGTTCCCAAAAATATGCAGTTTTCTATTATATGTCTCCTCAGATGTTCTTT